CTGGATGAAAAGTTTTGCTTGGGATAAACCTTGAAAGAATGAGAATTTCAATCTTACTTTGAACAATATGTAGTTTATACAGTAAATTCGTCTGGTGTTGCACCATGGTTAATAAGATTTATGTTAAAGTATTGTCTCCTTTGTTTAGTTTATAGAATTCTTCTTTTTTCAGGCTATTCATTTCTGTGCGTCGTTTATTCCCTCTCAGATTGTAGGTGGTGGTTCGCGTCTTGTCGCCGAATGATATTTTGTCTCACTTGATTATCAGTCAGTTCGTGCAATGTCAAACCTTCATGTACTGTAACCTTTCTTTCCATCTTAATCATTTATATCTGTACCATCTCTCCTTTATGAATTCTTGTGCTCTTGCCTTTGCAGTCATCTCTCAATGGTTCAGCTTCAAATTTACCAGATGGGTCTGGCAGATCGTTTACTGCTTCTTATTCTGGACAATCTGGTGCACCGTCTCCCTCTTTTCATCATACTGGTGGGTGTAATACTTATCTTGACCTCCTTCTGTATTTTGCCTTGTTCTGAATTTATGTAACTTCTACATTATTCGTCGTGCAGGAAATCTTCAGGGACTTCATAATATTCATGGGAACTATAATGTCGGGAACATGCAAGGTACACTTACATCAAGAAACTCAAGTATGAATAGTATACCATCTGCCGGGGTTCAACAACCTAATGGGGGTTTTTCCAGTGGAAGATTTGCTTCTAATAATCTACCTGTTAATCTCTCTCAGGTGCATCTGGTTTTAAATACTGTGAAAACAACTGGTCATGTTCTTAATCTTTGTCTCATATTATACGATGATTGCTTTGTAGATGTCTCACGGTAGCTCTCATGGGCATTCTGGAATCCCAAATAGAGGAGGTCTTAATGTTGTTGGCAACCCTGGATTCAATAGTACCGCTAATGGAGTTGGTGGTTCTATTCCTGGAATTCTTTCTACATCTGCAGGACTCAGTAATCGGAGTAGTGTTCCAGGGATGGGAATATCCCAATTGTTGGGAAATTCAGGTCCTCGGATAACAAATTCAATGGGAAACATGGTTGGTGGAGGTAACTTGGGGAGGAATATTAGCTCTGGTGGATTATCTATTCCTGGTCTGTCTTCTCGACTAAATTTGGCAGCAAATAGCGGATCAGGATTAAATGTTCAGGGACAGAACCGAATGCTGGGTGGAGTACTTCCTCAAGGTATATATGATTTTTCCAGTTCTTTTCATTTGCTTTCTTCAAAATTCTTTTGCGTGTAAGTCGATACAACTGAGCCTTTTTATCTTCTTTCTATATTATTGTAAATAGAAAAGAGTATGACTATGGGTCTTTGGTATTGCAGCTAGGAAGTGATGTGGAAACTAAGTAAAGAAAGTAGTTTGCTTAATGGCGACTTAAAATAAGTAGTCATTTAGGGAGGTTTGATTGATATCAGCAGTTGAACTTGTTTTACTTTTGTAGTCTATACTTCTCTAGACTCACGTGAGTACTATATAATGTAGAGAAAGCAGACTATATATTTAGCTCACATACTCTAGGATTTTTTGGAGTTTGTAATACGAACTTGTTTACTTTACACTGACAATCTTATTTAGCTAAACATGCAATAAGTTAGCTGATTCCCTAAATGTATGATACAGGATCTCAGGTCATGTCTATGCTGGGGAACTCCTATCATGCTGGTGGTGGCCCACTTTCGCAGAACCATGTTCAGTCAGTTAACAATATGATGCTCAGTGATCACTCTAACGATAGCTCTCTTTTTGACATCAACAACGATTTTCCCCAGCTGACAAGTCGACCTGGATCTGCTGGTGGCACTCAAGGACAACTAGGTAGTCAGTTTATCTGAAGATCTTTTGAAATTCATGTACTTAAATATAAAATAAGTTTTTGAAAAGATTTTCCATATCATGTCTTGTCCCCTCATGCTCTTACGGTGATGTTTCCAGGCTCTTTGAGGAAACAAGGTTTAGGTGTCCCACTTGTCCAACAAAACCAGGAGTTCAGCATCCAAAATGAAGACTTTCCTGCTCTACCTGGATATAAAGGTGCTGGTCTTTGATTGTCGATAACATTGTATTGTATTGTGCGTAAAGTTGGGTCTTGCATATTCTATGTGCGCAAAGTGAGGAATATCTTCTCTAGTTTCCTCTATTGTGAAAAGTTTTTCCCTTTGCTATTCTCCAAAATCTCATGAAAGCCCGTTTCCAGATGTTCTAGATAGTTAGGATGTTCATAAACTTCTTAACTGCCTTCTTATAATAGCTTATTGCATCCGAAAGATGATAAGATGTGCCTGACATTTGTGCTTCTTAATGCTGTAAGCTAAACCTGCTGGATCATTCACAAGCGTAGTAGATTTTTTGCAGGTGGTAATTCTGATTATCCTATGGATTTGCATCAGAAAGAACAACTCCATGACAATGCTATGTCAATGATGCACTCTCAAAACTTTTCTGTAAGCTTTTGACAGTTTCGAAGTTAACAAAGTGTTTTCCTGCCTTTTTCTGTTGATATGATTGTTGGTGTGAATTAATGTTTGGATATTGCAAATTTGCAGATGGGTAGATCTGGTGGTTTCAACTTGGGAGCAACATATTCATCACATCGTCCACAACAACAGCCACAACATACTTCATCTGTAAGTGGCGGACTTTCCTCAATTTGCATATCTCATATATATAATTATGATACTCCATCTTGTGGTTGGGCCACCCTTGTTCCAACTACCGTCTCTTATCATCAATTCTTATTTAATATCAGACTGGTGGGCTACAGGGTCTTGGCCTTAGACCTCTAAGCTCGCCCAATGCAGTTTCCAGTATTGGTTATGATCAGCTTATACAGCAGTATCAGCAACATCAAAATCAATCCCAGTTTCCTGTGCAACAGATGTCATCAATCAACCAATTTAGAGATTCTGAGATGAAATCGACACAGTCAGAGGCAGATCCTTTTTGCTTACTTGGCTTGTTAGACGTACTAAACAGGAGCAACCCTGAATTGACCTCACTTGCTCTTGGCATCGACTTGACAACACTAGGATTGGATTTGAATTCAAGTGGAAATCTTTACAAGACATTTGCTTCCCCCTGGACCAATGAACCGGCAAAGAGCGAGGTCGAGTTCACAGTACCAAATTGTTACTACGCCACACCACCTCCGCCTCTAACTGTAAGTTCCCTCTAATCTTGTGAGTAGTACCAACAATGTATTTTCTCGATTTTATTAACAAATGTGTTATCATTTCCGTTTTGTTGCAGCGAGCTAGTTTCAAAAGATTCTCCTACGAGTTATTGTTCTACACATTTTACAGGTCTGTTAATAGATCAGCATTCGACGGTCACATTTGCCAACTCATGAATTATCTTTGTGGAATTAAACTTATTACTTTGCTCTAATTATTGTTCCAGTATGCCGAAAGATGAAGCACAGCTATTCGCAGCAGATGAACTGTATGTTATTTTTCTACCATAATCATTGATAATTCGTTTACTGTACGCTCTCTTGTGCTGAAACTTTTGAGTTTGATTGACACCTTGCAGTTACGAAAGAGGTTGGTTTTACCACAAGGAACTCAGATTATGGTTCTTCAGAGTTGGGGAACCTTTAGTCAGGGCAGCTACATATGAAAGAGGGACATATGAATACCTCGATCCAAATTCGTTCAAAACAGTCAGAAAGGTAAGACAACGATTATTGCAGGAATATCTATTTCCTTGTTCTTGACTTTGCAGTGTTCTTAGTGAATATTTTTGGGGATGTTTATCGCAGGAACATTTTCTTGTCAAGTACGAGCTCATGGAAAAGAGACCAAGCTTGCTGCAGCATTGACAACATGTAGGTTTGTTCAATTAGTAGCATCTTTACAATGTAAAGCTTTTCTCTTCATTTCTATCTCTTTCTCTCTTTCGTTCATGCAAGTTTTATTGATTAGAAACCAAACCATCTCACATTTTCAATTTTTAACCCCAAGTTTCCCAAAAAGGTAATCACAGTTACTTTCATTGTTCATTTCTTCTGGTTCAAGCATGGTATGAACAGGCAATAAGTTGAGATTTGGATCACAATAACCGACACTTGAATCGAATAATTTAGATTTCCTTTTCTAGTATTACTTGTTGCGTAAATATGATGTCTACGTTTGTAAAAACAAAAACGTGGCTCAGTTCTGGTATATATAATATGGAGACAAAATAAAATCCATTAAAAGATTGTTGACATTCTCGGAAATTTATCGTCAACTGTTATTTCGAGAACTTACTATAATTTTCCTTTGGCAAATAGTTATATCTTAAATCTTGACTTTGTCCTTTGTTCTCTGATTTAGGGGGTGTTATTCAATGGTGGAGTTAAAAGTCAATTCTTTAAGGTTTAGATTTGTTTTCTGATATTGGTTTTAAGAATCTGTTTGTGTGGATTTCAAAATCTCTGCATTATATCTTGAATTTTGATTCTAATAATTTACTCATGAAACTCCAAAAAGGTTTCATTTGAAATGACTTAATATACAAAGATTTTACAAGTCTTTTAGTTTTGAATAACACTGGATTTTACAAACTTTAAAGAATTGACTTTAACTCCACCATTGAATAACACCAGATTTTAACGTTAGATTTATAATCATTAGTTGAATAACACTGGATTAGTGTTGGATTTCAATTCTATTAAAATCCATCATTGAATAACACCACCTTAGACTTTCTTACTTCGGCTGTATACTCTAATCATCTTGAGAGAATCCTTCAATTATATATTCTCCGTAGTTTTTTTTTTTTTTGAGGCTCATTTTGTTATACTTAAAACGCTTAAAACTCTATTTTATTTTTCCCGATCAACGTTTGAAAATTTTTAAGAATCTAACTTAAAGAAAATATGTACATTCAGTTTAATTTAAACAAATTGAGAACAAATGTACCGAAATAAGAGATGGGCTTTTAACAAAGACGATCCGCTTCACTGAGCCCGTATCTCAAGAGGATAATACATCTAAGCAAAACGGCACGCCGTTTAAGTTGTAACCAAGGATTGCATGTCGTTCTTATTTCAACAACCGAAACTTCATGAAATGCCAAGAAAAATCTGGTCACTTCATCAAGTGATCATTGTGTATGTATGTGTCTAAAGACTCTAGATAACAAGCGAAGGTCTTAGAAAAAGAGCATTTCCTTTTTAATTCAAGAAACTCCAAGAACGTTCTCTCTTCATCATTTAGTTCCCTATAAATATGGACCAATTACTCATCTCAGAAATCAGATCAAAACAGCAAGAAAATCACTAGAAAAGCAACAAACGATGTCTCTAATTCCAAGCATTTTCGGAGGACGTAGATCAAACGTCTTCGATCCGTTCTCGCAAGACGTATGGGATCCATTCGAAGGATTCTTCACGCCATCTTCTGCGTTAGCAAACGCTTCAACCGCTCGTGATGTGGCAGCGTTTACAAACGCAAGAGTGGACTGGAAGGAGACCCCCGAAGCACACGTGTTCAAAGCGGATTTACCGGGACTGAAGAAGGAAGAAGTGAAGGTTGAGGTTGAAGACAAGAACGTTCTGCTGATTAGCGGAGAGAGGAGCAAGGAGAACGAAGAGAAGAACGATAAGTGGCACCGTGTGGAGAGGGCTAGTGGGAAGTTTATGAGGAGGTTTAGGTTGCCGGAGAATGCAAAGATGGAGGAAGTGAAGGCAAAAATGGAGAATGGTGTGCTTACGGTTGTGGTTCCCAAAGCGCCAGAGAAGAAGCCTCAAGTCAAGTCGATTGATATCTCGGCTAATTGAATATGAAGATTGAAAATGCAGATTTGGTGTGTGCAATAAAAAGCTTGTGTGCTTAAGTTTGTGTTTCTTTTTTCTTTTGGGTTTGTTGTGTTGTGAAATTGTCGCTTTCTTTCTAAAATCATATGAATGTAAGATCTCATCATAATGAATAAACGAATGTTTCTATAATCCATCGTGAATGTTATGTTGAATCTCTTCTGCAAATTATAACGGATACGCTTTGGAATATGATTTAAAGATAAGATGGGCTCATAAAGTAAAAAGAGGTAAGGGACCTATAAATCTTCCATGGGCCTAAATAATATCATTATCTTCTTTTTTTTCGTAAATAATACTATCATTATCATCATGCTATATTTCATGATCTATTTTTTGGAATAAAGCTATAGACAAAGAACGCGTAATATAACCGCAACACAAATGATTTTAAACATGGCACATAATGGGGAGATTGAATTTTGTTTACGTTTTTATTTAGTACTACTAATTGTAACGTGAGACTGCGTATCGGGAATCGCCTAATTAAAGCATTAATGAGTACATCTGTACATGTTTAGATTCGTCGACCCTCCTATCTTTGTCAACATTTCTGTTTGTTATAATAAATTTATGGTAATGTCAGCTTCATATTTATTCGATAAAGCAATTTGCATTTGAAATTTGTACTTTGTATTTCTATTGTCTTCAAATGGATTCGTACCAACTTGGCGTTATATACCACAAAAAAAAATTACAGTTAGTCAAAAGAACTAAAATTAGACAAGAGAGTGAGAGCTACTACTTATGATTGTCTTTTACGTATATGGTCTATTTGCTCAATCTTCAAGCGTCGGATAAAAATCTTTGTACTTTCTTTTGTCGTTGATAAATCACAAAGTTCCAAAAATAATCGAATGATTTGATAAGAAAGACAAGAAGAAATCAAATAATTCAACATATCTGTACACAAGTAACTGAAAAAGAGATTCGATACATCAATCACTATCGGTTAAACTATAACCACACAAACTACTAAAAGAAAAAATATCACGAGATTTTTCCTTCAATAACTACGTCCGCCGCGAGATTTACCCGTAGTCGACGAACCCGCTCCGGATCCGGATCCGGATCCAGATCCGGATCCGGATCCAGATCCACCAGTTGTCGAAACACTCCCTGAGCCTCTAGACCCAAAGTAAAGATCCGAGAGGTAATTTCCAACATCTTCAGGGGTATATCTGACAACAGCCTCATTATCTCCAACCAAACCGAACCGGTTCATCTGGTAAAACTCGGTACAAACCAGTATAAGTTTCTGACTCAACGAGATTTTAATCTGGTCCCTAAGTTTCGGGTCGGGTATAACCCACGACGTCTGTTTCCGGTACGACGTCTCAAACTCATCGTTGAATCTCCCGACCAAATCCTTAGCTTCCTCCGGCGAATTCTCCTCCGTCGGAATCTCCGGTAATAAATCCAGCACTCTCCCCCACGCGAGCTTCTCAAACTTATCAGCATAAAGCTTCACCTTCTCTTCGTGCCTAAACACCCAATCGTCGCCGAGAAGAAGCTTCAGATTCGACGATCGGACTTTAACGACGACGTATTGGAGATTGTTGGCGAGGAAGAGATAAGACAGAGCAACATCTTTATACGGCTGAGCTTTGCCGTCGATTTTACAAAGCGTGAGTAAAATCACCCAAGCGATTCGTACAGACACCGGAGATGAATACAAATCCTCCGGATTCGCTTCATCGCCGCCGCTGATGTATAAAGAATCCGGTAACGGAGTCGGCACACTTAGCTTCCAATTTTCGAAAATCGCAGTGATTGATTCACTGTAATCTGCGAGGAATGAGAGGTAATTCATAACGTAACGAGTCAGAGGATGAACACCACCGCCGATGATCGGAGTTTTCGAAGTTTCTTTCTGAATCGCCGATTCGAAATCCGTCATCATCAACCTCGTCGCATCACCGAGTCTAGCTAACGAGTTAATCACCTGAGATCTAACCGCAGCTGCTGATTCGAAGTAGAAAATCGATTCAATCTCCACGTAGAGATTCGCAAGAGCTTCATACATATCAAGAAACCGAAACATTTTCTCAGGAGTTAGTTTCTTGATCTTCGCAGCATATTCCGGGAAAGTGAAGAGAATCAAAGCTCCTTCTTGAGTAATCTCAGTGAAAGAAGATTCAACGATTAAACCAGAGGAAGCAAAAACATGATCAGCTAAAATCCTCTCACCGAAGAACAAAGATCGAACAGCTAATTTCACAGCTTTTAACCATGTTTTGATCTTCGAATCAAGAATCTCCCAATCCATTTTCTGAATCTGATGAAGATTGAATCTCTCCATTCCCAGATTATGCAGAGTCTCATCAACAATCGATTTCCGTACGGTTTTATAAACCCTAACGCATTCTTTAGCGTAACCAGTTGAGATCATACAATCAGCAATCATCTTGAGATCATCCATGGCGTCGGAATCTCCACCGGAGAATCTATGCTCTTCGTCGGCGTTTTCTTCGTAAGTGATTTCGTCTTCTGAATCGGAAACACTAGTCGTTGTCGAAGTACTGAATCTTGAAGATCTGCAAGAACGTACAGAGACGGATTCTGGATCTAAATACTCACGGTTCGCTTTCAAGACACGATGAAACTCTGATTCAAGAAGCCTCATCGCCGATTGCATCAGATTCTGAGCGTAGATTAGCTTCTCCGAGGAAGGATTAACGGAAACCAAACGATGCATCGTGCTTTGTAAGTGTCTGACGGCTGTAACAAACTCCTCTGCTTCACGACGACTGTTGGTGGAGAAGAGGAACTCGTCGGAGGAAGAAGCAGCCGGAGAAGTCCATTTGGATATGACGGCGTTGATGTTGCTCATACATTCTTGAACAGCTGATTCCGCGAGAGAGAGATGAGCTGTTGGTTTCTCCGGCGGAGGAGATGATCGGAATAAGTGCTTCCCCATTTTTGTGGCCTGCTCTGTTTTTTTTTTATTGGTAACTCTCTTTTTATGTGTGAAGAAGAAGGTACTCTGTTTTTTTTTTTGGTTACCCTTTAACAAAAATAAAACTTCTGGTTTGTTTGTTGTTTGTTTGTTGTTTGTAATCAAAGTGAAGTAGATAAGATGAGGAAGGTGGAGGAATGAGCTATATATATATATATATATATATATAGAAACGACGGCTTTTTCAATGAAATATACGTATATGTGTATATGTGAGTGTACGTATAGATATGTGGAGGAGAATGGTTGATTAGTCAAACGCGGTGTCAATTAAGACAAGACATTGGGGAAACAGATTAGTTTTAGTCAATTTTGACGAACTTTTTTTACATTTATTGCTGCTTTCATCTGCAGCTGTGAAATGAAAATGCTATTAAATTCACCAACCAAAAGTATCGCAAAAGGTAACTGCATACTAGGGGTGGGCATTCGGGTATGCGGGTCAGATTTGGGTAAAACCCGATCGGGTACGGGTCTTTCGAGTAGAGGAGTTTAGGATCCAATAGGGTAAATCTAAAATATCGGTTCGGTTTCGGTTCGGGTCTAATCGGGTTCGGGTCGGTTCGGGTTTAGATTTTTAGAACCGCTAAATACCCGAAAAAATCGGGCACCCATCGGGTTCGGGTATTTTATACCCAAATACCCAAAATTTTACCAAATACCCGAAATTTTACTCTAATATCCAAATTTTATCCGCAATTTTACTCAAATATCCGAGTTTCACCCAAAAATTTATCCGAATAACCGGAATTTTGTCCAAATATTTAAAAAATTTACAAGCATCTCGCGTATAAATATATTTAGTCTTAAATATATAAATATAAGTGCATTTAATTTTTGGTAATTACTCTCGGATATTTGGATATAAATGTATTTAGCTCAAATATTACATATATATAAAGTTTTTATATGTATAAGTATAAGTAATTTCGGGTAATCGGGTATCCGTTCGGGTATCGGGTTCGGATCGGGTTCGGATCGGGTTTTACCCTATACCCACGGGTACGACAATACAAGACCCAATAGGGTAAATAGCTAATACTCGTACCCGCCCCGAACCGGTTTTTTCGGGTCGGTTTCGGTTCGGGTACTCGGGTACGGTTTTTTTACCCAGGCCTACTGCATACTATAATTTTATAGGATTCGTAAGAATAATACAGTAATGTTAAAAAGACTTTATATCCTAAAGCTGTCAATCTTAAATGCCACGAAATTGACAAACTATTACTCCCTCGTTTTATTTTACTTATAGTTTTATAGTTAAAATTTTGTTTTATAATAGTTGTCGTTTTAGGTTTTCGATGCAAATGTTTGGTAAAAATTCCAGTTTTGTCCATATTATTTTAATGTTTCGGCCAATAAATTTTTTTATAAAATATATTAATAAAAGATAAAATATAAAATTTAATGATTTTCTTAATTTGTGTGAGAAAACCTTAAACGACAACTAAAATGAAACCGAAGGAGTAGTATAATTTTAGCGATTAGTAGTACGTCATCTATGATTCTTGATAAAAAGATATGCGTGATATGATCTTAAATTCTTGGAAACTCTCGTGCACAAATCATAAAAAACAGCAAAATTATGTATGATATGAATTAAGAATGATATTAATGTTTTTGTCCGTGTGTTAGAGTTTGGTTTTGTCTGTTATATGTAAACAGCTTGTTCTTTTCTGTATGGTATTAATATTTTTAGCGGATGTAATGGAAAAAAAAACAATTTTATTTGATTATAGAACGCAACTGTTAATTAGTTTTATTACGATACAACTGTTAGTTAGCTTTTCTACTAGATTGGTATTTTTGGAAGGGAGGAAGGTTCCTTGCCTTATAAGTTGAAAATTGCGTCCTGCCGCCACATAAATGAAATCCACAGTCTTTTAACAGATGTTCAAAGATCCTAAATTGCCATAATACGACTACTAATTCAGAGTTTTTCTCCATCTCTTAATTATGAGGGAGAAGAGAACACAATACAAAATTTTCCATCTTAAACCATTTTCAATAATATACAGTTTCATTGGTGTAAACCTAACAATCAAATATTAAATCAATTACAAGACTCTTGTTTCAGATTTTAATGTTTTGTATGGTTAGATATGTTCCCAATCAGTCTTTTACTGTGAAATTAAAACTATCCATTAATACACAGATAAACGTTAAACTACATCTTACAATTCATACTCAAAAAGCTTACAAATTTAACATTTTATATATTGATCAAAAGTATGATCGGATTAGTCAGATCTAAGTGATTTCATAAAATGATACTCCCTCCGTATTTTAATAAGTGTCGTTTTAGGATTTTCTTTTTTAAAAAATTAGATGTCGTTTTCTAATTTCTATGCAAAAATTTTTACTTTTTAATGTTTTATGATATCATAAAACATTAAAAAGTAATAAATTTTGTATAGAAATTTGAAAACGACATCCAATTCAAAAAAATAAAAATTCTAAAACGACACTTATTAAAATACGGAGGGAGTATAATATTACAGTAATCAACCGACCACACTTTTAACTAAAAAGATAATTGAACCGACAATGGAACGAAACGGCAGTTACCAAAATTCAACGTGAGGAAGGTAGCAAGGCAGTATATACTTATGTGTTCGTAGAATATTTGTGTTATTTTATAGTAATTGGTACTGAAATTAGTTAGCTAACGGAAAATTGCAATAATTCTTTTTATATTGTCGTGGAAAAGTAAAATAATTCTAAAACGGGTAAAAGACAGTGACAAAGAGAGAATCTAAAGATGGATTCACCATAAGTAACACGTGAGTCGAGTGGAAGTTGCCGACTAGGATAAAGCTTAAAGTCACCCACTCATGCAATTCAAAAAATACGTATATGGTCCTCATTGGCCCCTAGGGGTTTCGCCTAGACAGGAGCCGGCCCACTTGTTCTCTTTTTAGAGCACTTAGTTTTTGTTTTCTTTTTGTTTGGTCCGAGTAATCATATTAAATTAAGAATTTGACCTTACTAAGTCTGACCGCTTTATTTACGGATCTATCCAAATAACCTGTTGATGAAATTATGAATGGATAGTCCATCGAAGACTACTTTGTTATTAGTCCCATGACTGTTTTTTTTAAGAGATCATTAGTTCATGTATAAGTTATATAACGTTAGCAAAAAATAGTTGATGTCATACAGAATCGGTATTATATATGAGATGTTGCCATGTTGTTCTGTTCTCAGTGCCGGTCCAAACATTTTTAGTGTACTAAGGAGAAAAAAATTTGTCGACCAAAATCTATTTTTAAAAATAATCCTACTATTTTGTCAAATTTAGCTGTATAACTTGGTAACATGTATATATGTTTTTATGATTACACGACAAATAATGTAAGTTTCTTTTGTTTGAACCACTTAATACATCTACACGTACTTCAGTAAAAAATAATAATATTAACTTACATGATCCGTTAGAAAATTACATGGCTAAATTCAATACGTAAAAAAAACTTGAAAAAATCATACAAAATACACAAACATTTACTTAAAAAAATGTGAGACAATACAATATCAACTTGAGGCCCTAAGTAGCCGCTTCCTTTGCTTATGCCAAGGGCCGGCACTGTCTGTTCTGTGAACTGAGAGTGTTTTGTTGTAATAGTTTGATCTTGTACGGTTATACCAATTGAAAAACTGAGAGCGTTTGATTCAATTAATTTTAGGGTTTAACTTAAATTGGGTTTGAACTGAGTTTGGCAGCACAATCCGATTGGTTATATGAGTTTATTTAGGTGGTTTAAAGCGGCATTTGTAACTCAGAGGCAATGCCTACTAAACTTCCGAGTTTAACACTATACAACCATATATCCCACTGAATTCGTCATAATCTAAGCATTACGTCTATTGTGTTGCCTGAGATATATTTTCTCATTAAGGTCTAGAAAGGTCGATCACCCATTCTATGGGTATAAGATCCATTCCAAACCACGTGTTTCATAGTCATCTTTCCAAAAAACACCATCCATATTGTACATATGATACTTAGACTGATTTCATACTTGGCATGCATCATTAATTTTGAGTATATTTCATTCATATATAAACCTAAGTTGAGTGTTTTTCTATACATGATGTTGAAGATTAATTTCTCACTTTCATGACAACGTATACAATGTAAGTAAGGAAACTACCGTGTATGTGTACATAGATTAGTTTAGTTATATAGTCCTACTATTTATTCATCAGTTTTGAAATTATATACATAGTTACATACTAAATGACACATGAATTTTCATCGCGACTATGCACACATCACACATGTGTGTATGAATAAGAACTACGTAACTAGCCATGTAGGTATTTAATTAGATTACGTAGCTTATGTAGGTAACACCTTCCTTATATACGCACCGGTTTGACTTTGAATTAGCAATTATGAGTTGAACGAAACTTGGTCACGCAAAATATTGCTTATATGAGCTTTCTTTTGATATTAGTTTCTGATCTGAAGACCAAAATATAATTTTTTTATATATTTAACGAATCTGTGATGACGATATTAATTGTTTTTGAATATTTATTTTTGTCCAAGGTGTGAATTTTGGACCTTTCGTTTTGACGTCGTCTTATATATAGTTACGAATTTATAACTTCCATAAGAAAACGTCTTCGTTTATTGTTTTTGGTTCATCTTTATGATCAAATAAGTAAACTTATAAAAACGAGGGAGGAACCATAGCAATAAAAAGCAAACTCGATCAGTATTCTAAATTTATACACACAATTTGATTAATATTTTCAGTTTCTGCAGAAACTTACGTACAATCTTTTTATATGCAGTAGTTAATCAGCTAACGTTTCAATGATTACCATTAACAACCAAATTCTTATCAATTGAAACTTAAAGAAATTTTCTTTAGGGTTATCTCTTCGTTTGAAGTATTCAAGTATGTGTAGAAACTAAGAATAGGTCCACTATATATATATATATATATATATATATATATATATATATATATATATATATATATATAAAAGACTGATACCGTCACCATTAAAAAAAATGTGAGAGAAGACCTTATTATAATGTTTACAAGATCAGTTTCTTCTCTCTCTTTCTTCTTTGAACTATTCTTCTGATGATGACCAGGTACATTTTGTTACTGCTAGAATTTAATATTTAGAATTTAAAATTTATTGAAGAATATTAAAATGCTAGAAATACAAAATAGGTAAATTTTAAAGTAAACACAAAAAAGTGATAAAAAGGGAAAGTCTTGCTGTTGGGAGTCAATCGGATTATCTCAAAGGCTAACGTCAGAAATTCTAACCAACTACAACCACTTTTTAATCTTTCAGTTATGGTATCTAAAAATTGCACCAATTCAAAAAGAAAACTTGTATATAAAATAAAAGATGAGCTCGAGTCCTTTACTTTTACATAAATTTAGGCTGTGGATCAGTTTTTGGTTCATTTAAATTTGGATTCAGTTTTCTTTTTTCTAAGATCATCAAATCTACACGAGATTCAACAAAATTTCAAAGAGATGAAACAAATACAAAGAGTCTATATGAATGCTAATTTCAGTTTCCTAACGGCTAGTTCTGTTTTGTTCTGAGGGTTATATCAAGAGCAAAAACCTTCAGTGGTGTTAAATATTCCTTCTTAAGGGCCCTCAGCCTTTTCGTACTGCGGAAGTTCTGGAGGCGGTGGTTGCGTTTGTGATTTTTTCTTGTTGTTCAGTAAGTTTTTCGCGTATAAAGACCCGAAAACGATGACCTGATCGAGCGAATTCCGTTAGTCAAAGAGTCAAAAGTATAACATAAAGTTCCAAAAATTGTAAAAAGGATCGAAAATATACCGATCCGATACATTGCTCCCAGCTAAGAGGATGAGAAAACCAAATGCATGAGAGCATGATGCTTGCAAGCTTTATTAAGACAGATTAGTTGGATTATAAATGGATCATGTTGTCAGTTATTAAGACAGATTAGTTGGATTGAGATCGAGTTTGCTCTATACCTGTCTGGTCGTCATGATTGCAGCAAATGTTAGAGCACCAAATGTCCTAATTGTGTACGAAATGAAGAACTGGCTTGCTGTTGCAACCTGCACATTATCAGTCCCTGGTAAGTTCAGTGGTAAACAAAGAAACAAGAGAGGAAGATTGTATCATGAAATGTCATCAAAGCCTTTTGTTTCGATTATATAATCATGGATTTGTATACACGCCTCTTGTGACCTATTATTAGACTACAAAAATGCAACCAGCTAATTTGGACAAAAAACAACATGGTAATGTAATGATAAAGTAGAAGGATAGAGGAAACTTAAACTTAACCGTAGAAAGCAGAGCGATGTCGAGTAAACAATCCCTATGCAGAGAAACAAAATCTATAGCTGATAGTAAATGCCCTTGCAATATAAGTCCTACATCAACGATAAGATTTACATAATGGTAAGGATAGAGAATAATTGACCACATTGTGATCTTCTTTTTAAGATTTAAGCACTGAGGTTTAAGGTTTTTATGCAGAAGAGATGAAATCTGACTCTGAGAAACACACTCAGAAACAGAGAAATCTTAAAAAAAATTGCAACTAATAACATGTTGATATCACTAACATAAAACCTCACTTTAGCCTAATAATCATCAGCTGAAGATTGAATCAGTTGTCATTGCAGAGGTCTAAAAGTCAAAATAAATTGAGCCCAGATATATAACTAAAACAAAATAAACAAAGAAAAGCCTTCTTTCTAAAGAATTTTCCTAGGACCAGCCGAAACGAACCCACAAAGGAAAACGATTAATGGTCCAGTGTCCATAGAAAAGAATGCGACTCTTATATTAAAGATTGCAGAAACAAGTAAGATTCTCACCTGTGAAACTCAAAACACAAGAACAAAGTGTTGTGTAGAATATTTGGTTATGTATCTCCATATTATATCCTTTAAAGAGCTTGTCTTGGAATGTGCTTGTAAAGCCGTCAAACCTGTTAGTGAGTCAATTACCAAATACACAATCAAGATTCCTAGTTTTAAAACCAGACAACAAAATCTCAGTATAATCGCAAAAACAGTGGAACGAGTAACAAGGATACACATACCCAAGATAACCAGCCATAAGGGAAACACCCCAAACAGTATTTTCCCTTCCCTTATTGTACGGACTAACATCGTCTCCTGCCTACAGCTCAGATTTACATAAAACAAACATGATGTTCATGGTAAATGTGATAGTCTAAGTAACCGAAGCCTTTGATTGGGTAATGAGTATAGAGAGGTTTATACCGGAAAAAGAATAAAGACAGAGCAGCCAAGGGTCACCAGAAAAGCCACTAAATAGTCAAATCCCTTATACTTCTTCTGCATAATAAGCGTTCCCCACACCTACACAGAGCACAGATATAAGAATGGTGGATGCTAAACTCAAACACATGAGTTTCCATCTCATACCAAAAAAAAAAAAGAATGTTACAACTTACCATTACTGGTATCATTTTAGCACATTTTGCAAGAGTTTGGACAGGGAAGCTCACATACTTGAGAGCCTGGAAGCATTACAGATTAGTAAAACCAATAATTATAAAAGTAGACATACAAAAGTTCATACATTTAAGATTAAAATCCAACCTCGTATTGGCATGTTGTGGTTAAGATGTTAGTCACTGATATAAGGCAATATTTATAAACCGGAGCTACAGGATCCAAAACTTTCTTGCTTGCCTACAAATTAAAAAAAAAAACCCCAAAAAAAGGGTTCTTTAAAACTTTGGCAAATAAGTATGAATACAAACACAAAGTTGGTTTGTCTTTTTTGGCTAGTTTACCAATAAAGCACCAGCAGAGACAGCTGATGTAGTGAGCCGATTGCAGAAAACAAGAAACAAAGAGTGTTTAAAATAATCTTTGTTCACTCCATAAGGAACTCTCATTATCTTCTCCTACAAAATCACAAACACAAAACAAAAAAAAAAAACAAAAACTTCTAATCATACAAAGAGAAGAAAGGGAAGAGATTTCACAGAGAAAACAAGACAGACCTGAAGAACACCATAGATTACAAGAGTAGACATAATGCCGGAAACTGCGAATACTCCTTTCCATAATTTGTTCTCTTTCACTCCTCCGTTTACTGTTTCCGGCTCAGCCATGGACCATCCACCTCTGAACACAAAACCTACAATAAATTAACCAATCTAATCACACAATACAAGCTCTGATTCGTAATGTAAGCGTGCGAAATCACAGTTACTAGTGACTGTAATACACCTTTGAGCTCAGAGATTTCAAGCTAGACGACGGATTGGTAAGAATACAACGGCTGATCCGATGAGATCGGAGAAAACTTTTCTTTAATTCTCACTCTCTCTCCTTTTATAAACAGATTAGAAACCGTAATAAAATCTCCGGCGACTTCTCCGTCGACTTCACCGTCTCGATCCGATTTGCTCCTCCACCGTCCTCTTTCTCTCTTTCTCTTTTCCTTTATTTCCGCCCTTTTTAAAGTTCTGTTCGTTGATGTTTTCTAAGTATCCGCCACGTCAGCAACAAGACAAAGGTCAAAACCTTCCACACAAGCCAGAGGGTTTCCGTTTATGTTAAATAGTTTTTCTTCGCGATCAACGAACGTGTGGCCCCAAAGAAGCACCACTTAGTTAGTACGATGACGACGAAAGAAGATAAATCATAAATCTTAAACTGGTGGTCTTGATTTTTTTCTTCCAGCCTTAAAAAAATGTCTGAAATTCTTAAATTTTCAGATTTCGGTTTTGTGTTGAAAACAACTCCAAGGAGAAGAGAAGCCGAGCGAGTCGTACGAAGAAAGATATATATGTTTCATTACGTAGATGATGGATTCTGCTTTATATCATCATCCTCGAATCTTTTTCGCTCACAGCTTCATCAATGGCTCGTATAGGTCTCCTAGGTTTGCTAATACTTGCTGGAGATTGACTGATGGTTCACGTTGGAATATCAAGGCTAGTGAGAATAGTGATCGCAACGTGTTTGATGAAAGTCCTCTGAGAGGAACCGACGAGTCGTTGTTTGATTCTGTTGACGCGGAAATCACACCTGAGACTGATGATTTCTTTGTGAGTGACGCAGAGGGTGATCCAGATTGTCCTTCTCAAGGTTATTCCTCTATTGAATTTGCTCTGCAAACTTTACGCAAAGGAAAGGTTTGTTCTTTGGGATTTTCTTGAAGACCATTGATTATTATCTCTTTTTTCAGTTGTATAGATTCGGTCTTACTAAAAAATATCACTTACGTTCAGTTTGTGATCGTTGTTGACGATGAAAATGGGGATGTTGAAGGGAATCTGATTATGGCGGCAACTCTAACGAGTCCAAAAGACATAGCCTTTCTGATTAAGAATGGTTCTGGGATTGTCTCAGTTGGGATGAAGAAAGAAGACCTTGAAAGATTAAGCCTTACACTCATGTCACCTGAAATGGAAGACGAAGACTCCTCTGCTCCAACATTCACGGTCACTGTGGTAACGAGATTAGCAGGAACATATATAATTCTTAAGATGGTTTCATTGCTTCTGAGTTCTGGTAAATTTCTTGGTGACAGGATGCAAAATCCGGAACATCAACTGGAGTATCAGCTTCAGACAGGGCGATGACGGTTCTTGCACTTTCGTCTCTGGAAGCTAAACCAGATGATTTCAGGAGGCCTGGTCATGTATTCCCTCTCAAGTACAGAGATGGTGGAGTTTTAAGGAGAGCTGGTCACACTGAAGCTTCAGTGGATCTAATGATATTGGCTGGTTTACGTCCTGTCTCTGTTCTTTCAGCTATTCTTGATCAAGAAGATGGGTCAATGGCTTCACTACCATATATGAAAAAGCTTGCTACAGAACACGACATTCCCATTGTATCGTTGACTGATCTAATCAGGTTAGAGAAGAAGAAGACTATGTGTTGAGAAGATAGATAACTCTGGAAACAAGTAAATCTGCTAAACTTTGATTAGCTTGATGTACTCGTAGATATCGAAGAAAGCGCGATAAGCTTGTGGAGAGAATCACAGTGTCTCGTTTGCCTACCAAATGGGGTCTTTTCCAAGCTTATTGTTATCGATCTAAACTCGATGGAACCGAAAATATTGCCCTCGTTAAGGTAAATCAAGCACCACTTGCTTCAAAATCTTGATCAATTTGCATTGGTGTCATCTCAGAACTACCAACTGGATAACCGGACTGCTAAAGATTCGATTCTAATACCATTCTCATGTTTGTTTCTGTCTGAATCGTGACCAGGGAAATGTCGGAAATGGTGAGGACATTCTGGTACGAGTGCATTCAGAGTGCCTAACCGGGGACATTTTTGGCTCAGCGCGGTGTGACTGTGGAAACCAATTAGATTTAGCCATGGAGCTAATCGAGAAAGAGGGAAGAGGAGTCGTTGTGTATCTTCGTGGCCACGAAGGAAGAGGCATTGGCCTTGGTCACAAGCTTAGAGCTTATAACTTGCAGGACGAAGGACACGACACTGTTCAGGCCAATGTTGAACTGGGCCTATCCATTGATTCTCGTGAATATGGTATCGGTGCTCAGGTTGGTTTAGTTACATTTTACAGCTAACTCATAGCCATTGATCGATATACAATTACTTTCTCTAAATTTTATTGGTTTTGGAATGGCCCAATGTAGATGCTTCGAGACATAGGAGTAAGAACAATGAGACTGATGACGAATAACCCCGCAAAGTTCACCGGTCTGAAAGGGTACGGACTCGCTGTAGTTGGCCGTGTGCCGGTGGTGACACCAATCACCAAGGAGAACAGAAGATATATGGAGACCAAACGCAAGAAGATGGGTCACATTTATATCTCTGATAACAACGATCAGCCTTTGGCTTGACCAAAAGCCTTTGATAGAAACGAACACTTTTGAATTTTGTATTTATAAATTGATTCATTCTTATGTAATCATCAACCATAAATTACTTTTTTCTGGAATTATAGTTTTATATAGAAGGGACAAATATAATCACCCAACTTACAAAACTGCTTTTAGAAATTAGAATCTTGTAAAATGATCGATTCGCTACTCTAATCTCTGCCTCTTTCCGGTTAGCATTGATTGATCGATAACCAAACTCGAACCGAACCCAATACTATTAACCGAACCAGAACACGTCAGAGAATCACATTTACTATCAACCTCGGACCCTCTAAACGAGAGAGAAGGTAACTCAAAACGCTGCGTTTGAGGCGGTGGGTTGATCCATTTTGGTAGCGGTCCTGCCAAAAGAAGCGTTTGAAGAAGCGGTCCAGCTTCAACCACCGCTTTCAAAAGCTTTCCCGTTTCTGGAAAAGCTTTCCCCATCACAAGAACGTCTAGAGGATCAAGCTGATGATGATTATGAGCCGTTGGAACTTCAAGATTCATCAACGGCTGAGGATTGACGTTGAGGAAGCTGGAGAGTTCTGAGGAAGAAGAAGAAGATACATCTTGAGAGAAGCTGTTTGATTCAGTGGTGCTTCTTGAAGTAGGGTTTTGGAAGATGAATTGGGATAGTTGTTGTCTAGCTTCGTCTCGTTCTTGTTGAGTGAATTTGAGGAGATTGAGAAGTTGGTTCACTTCTTCTCTGTGTGTTTTTGATTTCTCATTAGCTTCCATTTTCAGTGTCTCTAGTTCGAACAGAGTGCTCTGTAGATTCTGCCTCATCTCATCAATGCTCTGCGTTTCAAAAATATATTAAGAATTCGTATGAATAAATTAAAAGATTATGATGATAATGATGATGATACCTCTTGATGAAGCCAGTTAGAAGAATATAAGACATCCATTGATCAATGTGTGTGTTTTGTTATACTCTGTTTCAAGACTAATAATGATCCTTTATAGTGGTTGCTTGGAACCTATATATAGTACATGCATATACAAATGTAATCAATGTAAAATATCAGTGCTTTGTTTGATTTTTAGAAGTTTTTTTTTTTAATATCAACAAAAAAAAGAGAAAAAAAATCAGTTCTTTTTCAATGGTCCTTTCAAAAGTCGTTAGCCCATGTGACAAAGAGAAGGAAATAAAAATGTACAGTGGATGATTGAACCTTCATTTAGTTAATTAACTAAACAAAAAAAAAAACTTTGATTTAATTATCTTAAGAAACTTTGCCGACAAAAAAAAAAGTAAGAAACACTAAGTATTAAACTAATTGTTTTTGCATATTTTAAATTTCTCAAAACTATATGCATATATATGCCATATACTATACGCAGGGCTATTTTTAAATTATTGATGTTGTCAAGTTTTTACCGTATATATAGTACTAAGAATCTTATCTTTTCTTTAGTCATTAAATTTTTGTAAACATTATAATATTACTAACAGTCATTATTACTCTCTTGGTTCCTTAATTCAAATTCTAGAAAGAAAAAAATTGTTGCAAGAAAATACAAATATTAGGCTTTTTATACATTTTAATTTAGTTAGTAATAATAAATTGTATGATTGAAAAATAGTTATTGATTACTATTGGTTTAAAATTTTGCAAATTATTAATCACAAAAAACGATACATTTATAATCAATTGTTCTAAATTTTCTGAGATTGGTAAATAAATGTTATATTTTCTTTAAAATTAACAATGCATCAAATCAGCTTAGGAAAAAAAAAAAATTCCATCAATAATGCATAGTCACAGACTCACAGTATGGTTCCATTATCATTATCTTTTTCATGACATGAGCTAAATAAAATTTTATAATGATAATGGAAGTATCACTGTGAGTCTGTGACTATGGAGGAAAAAAGTGGAAGTCTTCGTTTAGTAGACGTCAAAAGGAGTCTTTTTTTATTCAAACTATATAATAAACTAATAAAATTCCAAATTTCTTTCGTGAGACGACTAAACAAGATTAAAAGCTACAAATTAAACTAATCATAAGGCTTAGAAATTGTAAATCACAATTAAGAGAAAAAGGATTTGAGAAATATAATTGCCTTTGATAATAATATATTGAATTGACTTGTTACACATTCCCAAACACAGTATTTTCATTTAGTTACCCAATAATTGCAGCGGATTCTCGTGAACAAACTTACAAAAAGATAGGTAAATTCAGACAAGTCCAATTTAGGTCGCAGTATATTTTGGTTACATATGTATTTTTGTTTGTATGTAACTTAATTAATACTTGTACTAGATTGGTTTGTGGACTGCCCAAGAAATATATTTAAAATCTTAATGTGGCATAATTTGTTTTTCCCACGATACTTATATTTTTATTCATTACATCAGCTAGCTTTAAATTAGATCGTACACTCTATTTCATTTTCATGCAAATATTCTTTACGCACATAATACTCAAAACCACTATTATACAAAACATTTTATCGAGCTTCGTGGTATGAATTTCAATGTTATTTTTAAGAAAAAAAAATTATATATTACACCACTTCAAATATATAATTTTTACTTAGACGGCTCACGGCGCAAAATTTGCTTTATGACGTTACTCTTCTTAAAGCATGCATATACATAAACTTTGACTCTTGAGTCTTGTTATAACTCATATTTTCTTATACACTTATAAAATAATCAATT